AACTCACTTTCCTCATATTTAAAGCCTCTCAAAGTCAGTGGTTCTTCCTGGCTCTACCACACAGTTGGCATTTAATCACACAGCCCAGGTGACCACTATTTTATTTCTTGGACAGTAGAATCACATCCCACATAAGGTAAAAACTGAGCACAATCAAATTTACCCTCAAACTTTTGGAAGTGATGGATATGTACAATGTCTTGATTATGGTGATGATTTCACACATAATCAACTGTACATTTTTAATATGTGCAGCTTATTACATGTCAATTATACCTCAATAAAGTTGTCTTTAAAAAGACAGAAAATTTATCCTCAAAAAATCCCTGAAGTCTCCCATGAAGTTCAGTACTCTACCATCTCCTCTCAACAAACTGCCTACATAACCAGCTTTTCCTTTACAATGTCCTTTGATTGTACTTAGGAGCCTTGCTTTCCCCCAAATACCCACAATAGCAAGACCAACCCAATGTTAGTGGCATGGGAAAACTGAGCATGTAAGGAAAAAGCAGATTTGTGACTCCCACCTCATCCTCACTCCACAGCACGCTGGCATATACTTATAGCAGGAAATGACAACGCTACTCTACTTTAAAAATTAAGTTTCTCCTTCAACTACCATCTTTTTTTTTTTTTTAACTAAATCTCGATGGCTGAACTCACTTAAGATCTAACTCCTCTAAAATAATACTCAGACTAGACTAAGAACCCCTCTATCTTCATCATCTTTGTTTTCATTATCTGGCAGAGTGAGCCCTAAATAAGAATTTATTCAACGTATTAGCAACTTTTTTCCAACTAAAAAGCCATTAATCTTAATCCCCCAAAATTCACAAGATATATCTAGAGGACAGTGATAAAAACAGCATTAGTATTACCTTATATTTGTATAATGTTACACATGCTACAGTTTGTAATTTGATCCTACTGACCTTGCTAGGCATGCAGAAGTAGCATAAATACAACCACTGAACAGTGGACACAAGATACCAAGTCGTAAATCCAGAAAAAAAATCAGTCTTCCCTGATCAGCTAACATGTCATCATTAACATCTGCAGATATGGCTGTATAATCAACATGGATCCAAAGAAACCTGATCACAAAGTACTCTGAAAGAACAGGAAACAGGCAAGCTCCTGGGAGGGAGGTGCAAAGGCACACCCTGACAGCTGTAGGCAATAGACATCGAAAAAGGGACCACGTGCCTGGTTCTGCAGGGCATGGCTGGGGCGCTGATAAAATGGATGCAGCACCTCATGCTGAGAGGTCCAAGCTGCACGGGATAGAGTGGGGGTTGGGGGGTACTTCTGGCTAACAGCACTTTGTGACACTCACCACCTACTAGTGGCCACAAACTACAGGAGATGGGCAAGCCAACCACCTCCTCCCTGTCCTATTTCTTCCTCAAAGGCTCATAGACCTCAAGGCAGAAGCTGAAGCTGAGCAGAGTAACCCTCTGGCTGATTTTAAGGGGTCAAAGTCTTTTTTCCTTTTTTTTTTTTTTTTGAGACAGGGTCTCACTCTACTGTCTAGGCCAGAGTATAGTGGTGTCATCATAGCTCGCTGCAGCCTCAAACTCTTGGGTTCAAGCAATACTCCTGCCTCAACCTCCCAAGTAGCTGAGACTGTAGATGTGTCCCACCACACCTGGCTAATTTTTCTATTTTTCGTATAGACAAGGTCTTACTGTTGCTGAGACTGGTCTTGAACTCCTGGGCTCAAGCGATCCTCCTACCTTGGCCTCCCAAAGTGCTAGGATTACAGGTATGAGCCACCGCACCCAGTCAAAGATGAAGTCTCTTGATGAATGCTACACTGGAACATGACAAGCATCAGCACAGAGTTTGCTGAAACCTGTTAGATAAAACTTATTTTCTCTTAGGTGGCAAAATAGAAAATATCCTTATGTCAACACGTACATCTGTGGCATAAAGAATGTCTACGATCCTCTGCAATACAGGGTCATTTTCCCCCTCGTTCTCCTGGCAAATCAATTCAATGTTCCTTAGTTTTCCGAAGTAGAAATCTCTCTCTTTCTCCAAGTCTTCGACAGTAAGTTTCAATACGTTGACCTGTGCAAGACATTAAAAAGGGTGAGATACCTGGCATTAGTGCAACAACAAAACATCAGACAGACTTCTACCCAAAAGGAGATGTGGTCTTTGATCAAACTCCAACACGGACAAAAACCAGTGCAGTTTAATGTCACTTTTCTTCAGGCCCAGATAAACAGTATGGACTTGTTCATGGCAACCTGTACTATAATAGCTCCCAGGAAAGTGCAGACTACACCTTGAAACATGCAGGAACTTCTCAAGGACTAAGAGAGGATCAGGGAGAAAAAACTAGGGAAGCCTGAGACAGATAAAGAAGTAGAATCCACCAACACAGCCCAGCAAGGTAGCTGACAATCATAAATTGAGTCCTTAACCAAGGAACTGGTCAGTCAAGTCCAACTGGGTGCGTGTGGAGGCCAATGGAAAGGGAGGTATGATCTTCCACGAGCCCCACTGAGGCTCTGTTCCCCATAAAGCGGTTATAAAGAAATAAATTTCAGTGCTTAGGCCAGGGCTCTATCTAGCCAATAGCAATTAATGTCATAACACTCACAGTCCTGTGTGTACTTAACCACAGTGCATCTTCATTTCAGTGTACTACATTCAAATCTATGACAACTGAATTCAATTTAACTCTCACTGAATACAAATTGCATGGCATATCACGCACCATGAAACCCTCATAAAAACCTGTATTTATAGGTTAGGGCCACAGAGCAGCAGAGAAAGTCAAGCCAGGAAATCAAAGGTGCAGCTGCTGAGAACAATCTGGGCAGCAGGGAATTCTGAGAGGCAGAAAGGACCACAGAAGTCATCTAGTCCAATCTTCTGAATGTACAGCTGCAAAAACAGAAGCAAACCAGGTGCAGTGGTGCCCACCAACGGTCCCAGCTACTTCGAAGGCTGAGGCAGGAGGACCACTTAAGCCCAGGAGTTTGAAGCCAGCCTGAGTAACATAGCGAGATCCTGTCTCTTTAAAAAAGCAAAACAGGGCTGGGTGCGGTGGCTCACGCCTGTAATCTTAGCACTCCGAGAGGTCAAGGCGGGAGGATCACTTCAGCTCAGGAGAGCAGCCTGAGCAACAGCGAGACCCCATCTCTACAAAAAATAGAAAAATCAGCCAGGCGTGGTGGTGCATGCATGTAGTCTCAGCTACTCAGGAGGCTGAGGCAGGAGGATTGCTTGAGCCCAGGAGGCTGAGGTTGCAGTGAGCTATGATGACGCCACTGCACTCTTAGCTGGGGCAACGGAGCGAGATTCCATCTCAAAAAACAAAAACAAATACTAAAAAAGCAAAACAAACAAAACGACATGAAGCAAAAACAGCTCATCTAGCTTCCCTGTGGCCTAATGAAGAAGCCAAACATAACAGAGGGGGATCAAGTCTCATCCCAGGGTGGAAGGAAGCTCCCCTTCATAACCTGCAGTCAAGAAGCATCCAGAGATGAGGAGAAGTGACTAGGACCCACCAGGACAATTTTGTCAAAGCCCTAAATTCAAAGTTCAACATCAATGTCCTGAACACACCAAACCAGAATCACAGTTCTCAACGGCCTTTCACTATTTATTTATTCCTTTATCAACCACAGAAATCACTTTCAAAAATAAAATTTCCATAAAGTACTACTATTGCCCAGTATCCCGCAAAGCTACATACTCTGCTTCCCTCACTCTCCCCAATCCCTGCTTTTGCTGGGGCTTGCTGTCTTTCCTGGAACAGCCCCTAAGCGGGGTATAAGCAGGGGACAGAAAGGCAAGAGTTGATCAACCCCTAGCAGTAGGAAGCTACCTCAGAGATTCAGTTCCATGATCTTTCTAACCACATGCCTGGAAGCATTAGTGACCGAGAAGGAAAGGAAGTCAAAACAGCTTAAAAAAGAATGCTATCTTGGAGTCCATCTGTACACCATGTTTCACCAATGCCACACTCGCAAACCCATTAAAACCTGCTCTGTCCTACAAATCGTCAAGGCCACCAAAGGAAACACCAAGCCCTCTGGGTCACACCTGTAAGGCCAAAGCAGCATGTGTCCACAATATCACTCAATAACTATGTACACACAAGAAATACTCAACAGATATATACTAAGTCACTGGCTTTTACCTGGTACTCCTCTAAATGCTTATTCATGAGGTTATTAAAAATCTGTGGCTAGTAACCAAGGTCACTCTTAGAACCTTCTCCTGTAGTAAAGCAATAGCTGTAACGGAAGAAGCCCAAAAACAACATTTCAGGCCTGCATTGGCCACAGTACCCATCAACCACATGTGGCTACATAAGCACTTGAAATGTGACCAGTGTGATTGAGATGGGCTGCAAATATTAAACACCTAGTTCAGTCTTCAAATGTAAACTATCTCATTGATATTTCTATTGATTATATTTTAGAATATTTTTGGTATATCAGGTAATGTGTTACTAAAATTAATTTTACTTGTTTCTTTTTACTTTTTTTAATGTGGCTACTAGAAAATCTTAAATTCTGCACCTCACATTTCTGGTTCATATCCTATTTCTATTGGATAGCATTGCTTTGGACTGAAATCAACCAAAAGCTAATTTCTCCAGGACAACTTAAGAAAGTGGACTCCTTGCAGATATTCCAAGGACATGAATACTACAAGGTAATTTGCATAGAATACACTGTTTTTCTCTTAGCCTAACAAGTCCATCTGGCTCTATTTCCCATACTTATACCAAGGGCTACAAACTCAAATACTTTCATGGAGAGGGGGCCTGA